GTTGTATTGATCTAGGTCCTGGGCTGTCACCGCCATAGGTCATGGGGGCGGAGCTGCTAAGCTGTAATACAGTCTATACTAGGCAAGAATGTAGTTTATAATTAGACTCTGCATGCAGGGTATCATATGATGCGATTGTGATTTGATTTCAAAGTGTAATGATGTTCATCGTATCACCCATGACATCAGTCACACATTGCCCCTATCAGCACCTAAACAAATAATCTTAATGTCACTATTGATTTGAAATTAATCTGTGACATCAATCAGCCAATCGGAACACAGTATTTCAGATAATCTGCATTCTTGAATTTCAACCAAGCATGGATATTTTTAGAATCAGTGAGATTGATTGCCTTTTTTAATTTCATAATTTCAATTTTGCTATAAATACTAGAATATGTATAATAGCTAGGCTTATGTAGGACAAATGTCAGTTGGTTAGTGTTGATCTATTTTTACTATTGGACCCTTAAAAACAGTTACAAAATAGTTTCCTTGCAAACAAATTCATTATTTTAAGCAATACTGAACATTAAACTGCAATGTGTGAAAAGAATTGAAGCTCAATATATTCATTGTTAAATCATCCTGCAATTCAGTCCTGGGCTTAAATCCTTTAACCAACAACAAATCAAGCGTGTAGCTGCATATATTGTTTTTCTCTGTGATGTTTTATAAACAGAAGATCCCAGAATTATGCAGGCAAAGAAATTGAAATTATGCAGCTCAAAACTCTAAATTATGGGGGGAAAATGCAAACTATGCAGCAAATCATGCAACCGCAACATTGCAAAAACTCCTGAAAATCCATATTTCAAATAAATGAAAGCCTTCTTAAATTTTGTGGTCATAAGCACCATAGAGTTTTTGTTAAGTTTAGATGTTATTTACCTAATAAACTATGAAAATGATGAAGCAGTAAAATATCAGGTGAGATATTCTTTGAGAAAAATGTAAATTATGCAAAAGGTATGCACTGATGAATTATGCAGCACTTTAGGAAATTCAGAATTATGCATAATTAGAACGCGTTACGTAGACATGTAATTCTCGGATCTGTGAGTTTCTCCACAAATTATTCAGTCTTTGTATTTTCTCATGCAATGAAATTTTCACTGGATTGTCTTGTTATATCTGTGGCATAGCTTCCCTTTCATGCACATCTCATGGAAATGACTGTTCCAATACAAATCTCTTTGTTCATGGAAATGACTGTTCCAATACAAATCTCTTTGTTCATGGAAATGACTGTTCCAATACAAATCTCTTTGTTCATGGAAATGACTGTTCCAATACAAATCTCTTTGTTCATGGAAATGACTGTTCCAATACAAATCTCTTTGTTCATGGAAATGACTGTTCCAATACAAATCTCTTTGTTCATGGAAATGACTGTTCCAATACAAATCTCTTTGTTCATGAAAATGACTGTTCCAATACAAATCTCTTTGTTCATGGAAATGACTGTTCCAATACAAATCTCTTTGTTCATGGAAATGACTGTTCCAATACAAATCTCTTTGTTCATGGAAATGACTGTTCCAATACAAATATCTTTGTTCATGGAAATGACTGTACCAATACAAATCTCTTTGTTCATGGAAATGACTGTTCCAATACAAATCTCTTTGTTCATGTAAATGACTGTAACGATACAAATCTCTTTGTTCATGTAAATGACTGTAACGATACAAATCTCTTTGTTCATGTAAATGACTGTAACGATACAAATCTCTTTGTTCATGTAAATGACTGTATCGATACAAATCTCTTTGTTCATGGAAATGATTGTTCCAATACAAATCTCTTTGTTCATGGAAATGACTGTAGTCATACATATCTCTTTGTTTGTGACTGTACTGATACAAATCTCTTTGTTTATGGAAATGCCTGTACCGATACAAATCTCTTTGTTTATGGAAATGACTGTACCAATACAAATCTCTTTGTTCATGGAAATGACTGTATCCATACAAATCTTGATGTTTAGGGAAATGACTGTACCGATATAAACCTCTCTGTTTCATGGAAATGACTGTAACAATTCAAATCTCTTTAGTCGTTGAAATGACTGTACCCATACAAATCTCTTTGTTTATTAGACTCCAGATGTAAATCTGGAGTCTATAGCTTTTGTCAGTATTCTTCTTCTTCTTCTTTATTATTATTCTCTACACGTTTTCTCAGTAGTCAGAAGACATTGAGTCAAGACCTGTGTATGGTCAATTTAGGTCCAGTATCTAGTTTCTCGGAAATTGGGTCAATTTTTTATCTAGGTCAAAGGTCAAGAACTAGGTCAAATCTTACATTTTCAACCTTCCGTCTATTATCTTCGTCGTTATTTATCGAAACAACTTTGTCTTTTTTTCATCATGTAGCTTAGAGACAGCCCTTTCATAAGTGTGCCATCAGATTTTTGATTACTGTTACCGATTTTGAGATATGGCGTCCGGAAAGTAGATCAGAACAAAAAGTTCTCCAAATTCAACATGCGAGTTATCAAATAAGTGCAGAATGATCTCAGGAATCCGAATCTGCAAACCAAATTTAGGTCAGACTTCCGGTTCGGAAGTTATGGCGTTTTGAAAGCTCAAAAATCGCTAAATTTGGTGCCCATGTTAAGTCAATGGGAAAAAAGATTTTTTGAAGTGAGAAATACGAAATATAGACTGAGTTCAGCTTAATTTAATGAAAGCTTTTAAAAGAAGGGGACCTCAAAAGCCATCTAGCTTCAAAATTTTGACACCAAAATACCTAGGTCAAAATCTAGGTCAAATCCAAAGGTTTTCCTTATTTTTGCGATTCTGACACTACACTTTAATTATATTCTTTGAAATTGTGTATACATGTAGCCAAGAGTGTGCTAATAGTGTTAGCCTTTTGCCGTCAGAGAGTATTTTGACCCACTTTTGAGATATGGTGTCCGGAAAGTAGGTCAAAATTAAAATTCGCCAAATTTAACGTATGAGTTATGAATTAGGAGTAGAATTTTGTCAGGAATCCGAATCTTTAAATCAAATTTCGATCCGACTTCTGGTTCGGAAGTTATGGCGTTTTGAAATTTCTGAAAATCGATCTGATGGTATCCTGATAGAAAATCAAGAGTAGAGAAGGAAATATTGAAAAATTCATCCATCCATCCTTCCTATCTGATCTTATCCTATCCTATCCTATCCTTCCTATCTATCCTTCCTTTGTATCTTTTCCTTCCTATCCTTCCTATCCTCTCTTATCATATCCTTTCTAACTATTCTGTTCTATCCTATCCTTCTTTCTTATTCTATCCTATCGTTCCTTCCTATTCTATCCTATCCTACCTTCCTATTTTATCCATCCATCTTTTTCTGGATGACTCGGCTTATTCTGGATGACTCGGCTAAAAAAGGTCTAAATCTGGAGTCTGAAATTGAACTTCGTTCAATTTCCAAAGTCTAGTTAAAATTACTGTACACATACAAATATCTTTGTTCATGGAAATGACTATACAAATACAAATCTCTTTGTTTCCTGGAAAAGACTGTACCGAGATAAATAATTTTGTTCATGGAAATGACTGTACCTGTACAAATCTCTTTGTTCATGGAAATGACTGTACATATACAAATCTCTTTGTTCATGGAAATGACTATACCAATACAAATCTCTTTGTTCATGGAAAAGACTGTACCAATATAAATTATTTTGTTCATGGAAATGACTGTACCCATATAAATCTCTTTGTTCATGGAAATGACTGTACCCATACAAATCTCTTTGTTCATGGAAATGACTGTGCCCATACAAATCTCTTTGTTCATGGAAATGACTGTACCCATACAAATTTCTTTGTTCATGGAAATGACTGTACCCATACAAATCTCTTTGTTCATGGAAATGACTGTACCCATACAAATCTCTTTGTTCATGGAAATGACTGTACCCATACAAATCTCGTTGTTCATGGAAATGACTGTACCCATACAAATCTCTTTGTTCATGGAAATGACTGTACCCATACATATCTCTTTGTTCATGGAAATGACTGTCCATATACAAATATCTTTGTTCATGGAAATGACTGTACCCATACAAATCTCGTTGTTCATGGAAATGACTGTACCCATACAAATCTCTTTGTTCATGGAAATGACTGTACCCGTACATATCTCTTTGTTCATGGAAATGACTGTCCATATACAAATATCTTTGTTCATGGAAATGACTGTACCCATACAAATCTCTTTGTTCATGGAAATGACTGTAGCCATACAAATCTCTTTGTTCATGAAAATGACTGTACAGATACAAATATCTTTGTTCATGGAAATGACTGTATCGATACAAATCTCTTTGTTCATTGAAATGACTGTACCCATACAAATCTCTTTGTTCATGAAAATGACTGTACCTAAACAAATCTCTTTGTTCATGGAAATGACTGTACCCATACATATCTCTTTGTTCATGGAAATGACTGTCCATATACAAATATCTTTGTTCATGGAAATGACTGTACCCATACAAATCTCTTTGTTCATGGAAATGACTGTACCCATACAAATCTCTTTGTTCATGAAAATGACTGTACAGATACAAATATCTTTGTTCATGGAAATGACTGTATCGATACAAATCTCTTTGTTCATTGAAATGACTGTACCCATACAAATCTCTTTGTTCATGAAAATGACTGTACCTAAACAAATCTCCTTGTTTCATGGACAAGCAGTCAGCTATCAAACATTTTCTTTAATGCTACATTAATATGATCATGAGACCTGGTATAGAAAAGTTACACCTGTGTGAATTTGAAAAGTTTCTTTTGTAGTTTTACATGCCTTGTGGAAGATCCAATTGATAAAGTAACCTAATTTTTATTTCACATTTATTACCAGTTTTTTGGGGGCTAGCATTTGGCCTTTTGGTTGATTGTGGCAAGTAGTAAATTGGCAAAAGCTTTGTAAGAGTGATACCACATGTAGCAGATGTGATCTCACTGAAATTTAAATATTTTCCAGATGAGCAATGGTTAGCAGGTAGGCAACATTGTGTTCGAACAGTGCAGGAGCAGCAGTCTTCAACATTGAAACATTGTGATAGTGGAACATTGCATGAGGCTACAACATTTACCTCAACCAGTATTAGACTAGGCAGCTATAGGTACATGTGCAACATATGCAGTAAAGGTTTCAGTGTATCAACTAATTACTACAATCATCAGCGGATCCATACTGGCGAGAAGCCTTTCCAGTGTGACATTTGTCTTAAACGTTTCTCAGTCAGTAGCAACATGAAGAAACATAAGAAGAATGTGCATAATATGCACGTTTAACATCTTGCTTAAGAATAAGCATTCACTTCTACATCTCTTTAAGAATCAACATGTAATGTTCTAAATAATATCCCTACAAGGACTTTTTGTGTTTGCCTAGATGCAATTGTGAAAATACAATATACTCTATAGGAATTGAAAGGAAATAAGGTTTCAGCATCTATTTTGCACATCATTTGATATGGCAGCGAACACTGATAGATTCCACAGAAAAAGGCACAACCTACAAGTAACTCAAGAGTCTTAAAAGTAACACAATAGACTTACATGTTGCACAAGTGTCTGACAAGTAATAATTGAATTGAATAAAATTCAAGCAACAAAGAACCTAAAAACCACTAGAAATGATTTGGTGATAAAGGACCTGAATCATGTGTTTTCAGAGAAAATGTGAGAAACAAGGCTGGGTATTATTTAGGAAGGCTGTTTAGAGGGGTTCGCTTTACTACAATGGATGTGAACTCCCAATTAAAGGAATATTCCTTGCCAGACCCTTTCTCTCTTGATATGGTAGCTATAATCATATATATAGTTTCCATATTTAGCAAAACATGGGAAAATGTTTTAATATGGTCAATATTGATCATTTAAAAATCTAGTGCTTATTTCCAGTGAGCTGCCATCTTTTAAGATTTCTTGCAGGAAGTGATGTCATCAACTCTCAACTTCTATAACCTTGCCCATAACAGTATAGGAAAGTAGCACAAAATCACTTCTAGATAAGTGACCATTACTTTCTGTGCAAAAATATTTTCAGGGCTTGTCAACTTAGAATAAAAGAAGAGATTTTCAGAAGGATTAAATAAGATACAAAGTTGAAAAAGAATATTTAGCTGGTTTTGTAATTCTTAATAGCTCCTCACCTAATGCTATATGCAAAGTTGAGAGTCGATGACATCACTTCCTGTGTGAAATTTTAAAAGATGGCAGCTTACTGGAATTGAGCATCACATTTCTAAGTGATCAAATTTGACCATATCAAAACATTTTTGCGTGTTTTGCTAAACATGGCAAGCATATATATGGTTATAGCTACCATATGAGGAGAGAGATGGTTTGGCAAGGAATATTCCTTTAAATAAACAAAGGCATATAAACTAATTGTGTGCTGTTCTGTATTCCAGTTGGATCTTTAGAAGCAGCCAATCCAGATCTGAAGCTACATAAAACCTACATGAAAACCATTCTATCCCAGAATCTTCCAAATTGCCTTGTGGGAAACAATTACCAACATTCAGCAGAATTGAAGTTCAGATGCAGCATCTGTAGTAAGACATTCAAGAACAAAGCTAACTTAGATGGCCATATTAGGATCCATACTGGGGAGAAACCTTTCCAGTGTGAACTCTGCCTGAAACGCTTCACTCAGCATGGGAGTTTACATAATCATAGGAAGACTCATAAGAAAGATATGCTGTGATACTTTAGGGAAAAATTAATAAATAAAAATATAATTCAAACAATACTGTTAAGTACTTTATACAGTAGAGTAATGTGTATTTTAATCTACCTTTTTACAAAGATGTTAGTATGTTTCACCACTAATAATCTGGGTCAGATAACATGGCAGACCATGCTAGATATAGAAAAAGACCTAGATATCACATAATTCAAAGAAAATTAAAATTTAAAAGTTGTTGACAATTTTGAAAGCATATTTCTAGATGTAGTCTCAAATGCAGATTTCAAACATGATGTAACTTTGACTTACACTTTTTCTACTTGCATCTAGTCTATTGGCAATTGGATCTGTTGTGATTAAGTTTAAGTGCCCCAAAAATCATAAGATATATCGATGCAAAAGCAAAATGTGCTGGGTGACTTAACAAATGCAACCCTCTAATTTCTTCATTACTTTCAACTATAGTGGAATATTGTACTTATATACAGCTTATACTGTAGATTGGGTTAATTTGGCGCTACTTAATTTGGCAATTTTGTTATTTTTGTCATATTGGCGGCTATTTAATTTGACGGATATGCAAAAAAATGTTAAACTTACACGCTGTACCATGTAAATGGGCATGTTTGGCTATGTTCATTTTTTCTTTTGAGGACCACTGGCGATATTCACCACGTTTGTACATTTTTGTGAGATCACCCTTTACATTTTGCACCTCGACCGATGCTGCTACTATACCGCGCTTTTCCTTTCTAGTTTTTCTCTGAGTATTAATGAGTGACTGACCAGTTCTGAGCCAATTTATGAGAGACACTTTTTCATATTTTTGGAAAAAACTTAACCTGAAGTGACCTAAATACACTGGATGAAATACCCTAGATAATACCCGGGGATTCATTCTAAATTTTGGCGAAGATTTATATTGGCGAATTTTTCAATTTCGCCAAATTCGCTAAATTAAAGCGGGCGCCAAATTAACCCAATCTACAGTAATTAGCTTAGACATTTAGAAAAATTATGTTTTCCATCCTGGTATACTATCAAATCTGTATTTGTCAATATTTACCAAATAGACAACCATAGTGTTTTGGCTCTTCAAATTTGGCACAAATCATCTTCATTTACTGTACTGGTAAATCTATACAGTCTATACAACCTACAGTCATGGTCGAAATGCTTTCAAACTGCAGTCAAACGCCCTGGTTCAGGGAGACTTAAGAAGGCATTTTGACCATTACTGTAAAGTCCCTGGAGTAATTTTGATGAAATTCCACAAATTCACCACACATTGAATGAGGATAATTTGTGCCAAATCTGAAGTGCCAAAACACTATGTTTAGAAAGTAATTTGGTTTTATTGCTGTGGCAGTCACCTCTGACTGCATTTTTATATTTTCTTAGTACAACTGTCATTTGAGCAGCAGGTATCCGAGGCATTATGTTTTACAACTTACTGACAACAGGAGCTATACATACATAGTCTCTTCTTTCTTTTCCTGAAAAAATGAACATAATTGAATTAGTATTTTCCAAGATAAAATGATTTTCCATTCACGTTTTTCGTATTTTGCTAGTACAACTGTCTTTTGAGCAAGTGTCCAAGACATCATGTTTTACAACTAACTAACAGCGGGGCTATACATATTCGTCTCTTCTTTTTTTCCTGAAAATATGAACATAATTGAATTAGTATTTTCCAAGATAAAATGATTTTCCATTCACGTTTTTCGTATTTTGCTAGTACAACTGTCTTTTGAGCAAGTGTCCAAGACATCATGTTTTACAACTAACTAACAGCGGGGCTATACATATTCGTCTCTTCTTTTTTTTCCTGAAAATATGAACATAAATGGATTAGTATTTTCCAAGATATAGCGATTTCTTTGGGTTGCGTTTTTTGAACACACTGTATATGTTAAGTACTCGTAAATTGAAACGTTATTTGCCATTTTTATCTGTCAACTAACGTACAATACAACGTTAGTTGCTTGATTTATTGCTGTGGGTGATTAACAGAATATCTATATTTGTTTGTTTTGCCAGTTGTTTATTGATAGATAAGTTGGTTGCTTGGTTGATTGTTTACTTGATTTGTTGTATAAGATTTGTTTGTTGAGTTGGAGGTCAGTTGGGCATTTTGAGGCATAAAATCAAAAAATCAAATTCCTAACCCTGGTAGGGACGTTGGGTACCCAGTCACCGGGCTACCCATATACCCAGTCACCAGTTTTTTTACACAAACCCTATAACACCACTTGGAACAAACAGCTGATTTTTATCGTACCTAACAAGAGGTACGATATTATAGTCAGCTTGACGGGTGGCGGGCGGGCGGCGTCTCACTTTTCAGCTTGTCTACAGGTTTCCAGCCAAATCATTTCAGGGATTCATCTGAAATTTTCAGGGATGTTTCTACATATCAACGTCAAGAACTGATTAGTTTTTGGGCATTCTGGATAAATCTTAAGGTGGTCATTTTGGATTTTCCGTCCTAAAATCTTCACTTTCAAGACTTGTCTACAGGTTTCCAGCCAAACCATTTGAGGGATTCATCTGAAATTTTCAGGGATGTTTCTACATATCAATGTCAAGAACTGATTAGTTTTTGGGCATTCTGGGTAAATTTTAAGGTGGCCATTTTGGATTTTCCATCCTAAAATCTTCACTTTCAAGACTTGTCTACTGGTTTTCAGCCAAACCATTTGAGGGATTCATCTGAAATTTTCAGGGATGTTTCTACATATCAACGTCAAGAACTGATTAGTTTTTGGGCATTCTGGATAAATTTTAAGGTGGCCATTTTGGATTTTCCGTCCTAAAATCTTTACTTTCAAGACTTGTCTACAGGTTTCCAGCCAAACCTTTTGAGGGATTGATCTGACATTTTCAGGGATGTTTCTACATATCAACGTCAAGAACTGATTAGTTTTTGGGCATTCTGGGTAAATTTTAAGGTGGCCATTTTGGATTTTCTGTCCTAAAATCTTCACTTTCAAGACTTGTCTACAGATTTTCAGCCAAACCATTTGAGGGATTCATCTGAAATTTTCAGGGATGTTTCTACATATCAACGTCAAGAACTGATTGGTTTTTGGGCATTCTGGGTAAATTTTAAGGTGGCCATTTTGGATTTTCCTTCTTAAAATCTTGTCTATCGAGGCTTGTCTACAGGTTTCCAGCCAAACTGTTCAAATTTTTACATATGTTACACAGTGATAAGTTCTAGAGCTGATTAACTTTTCTGCGGCCATCTTGCTTTCTTGGTCAACAAGACCAGAATGCTGTGTTTTAGGTACGATATTGTTCACGTCTGTGCCTTGTTCTGTACCAGTGCTGTGTGGTGGTTCATTCCCTTGTGTTTTACATGTACCAATCAAATATTCATTTCACTAGTAACCACACTTTTAAATGACAATTTTATGGCCCTTAATGAGGGCTTTGTTTAAAAAAAACCTCCTACCTCATACCCACCTTCGTGAAACACAATGCAGTCATTGAAGGGTTCAATTTTAAAGATTATTAAATCTCAAAATAGCTCAAATTATTAACAATTCCGGCTTTATTTTATGACTAGACAGATGACAGATCCATAAACAAAGGCATATGGATGCATTTTAATGTGTAATGACCAGAGGGCGCCCCAGGGGAATAAGTAACTAACGACCGCGAGCATAGGTCCAACAAGTCAGATAAAGAAATTGAAAGAAAGTGTTCTAAATTCGATGCCCCGAGTGGGAATCGAACCTAGCTGGAATGTAGTAGCAACTTGCTATCAAAGGTCATTACAAATGCATCTAAGTAGTCTCATCTATAATTCATCATAAACTAAGATTTAATAAACTAAGATCTTTAAAACCCTTGGATCTTGAACCCTTCAAAGACTGTATCATGTCCCACGTACGTGGGTAAGTGCGTATGAGGTAGGAGGTTTTTTATACAAAGCTCTTAATGAGGTGTCTATTGAAGGAAGCTATTGAACTGATCTGTTTGTCTTACGTAATTGTGTCTTTGCTGTGAGCACACCATGTTCATAAGCATTTTGTTTTGTTTACTTACGGCTTTGTAGAAAAAAACGGGTACTGGGTAGTAAATCCTCAATGCTGGGTTCAAATTTGGTACCCGGTTGGCGGTCGAAAAAACCGGGTACCCCAAAAAACGAAAAATACGAATATACAACATAATTAGATCATTAGAAAACGTGTAAGATTTGTTTTGAATATATAAAAATGTATGTAACTTCCTTCAAAATTGAGCTAGAAGCTTCAAATAAAAATTGCGTTTTTAGGCTCATTTCTTCCTCTATCATCATGTTTTTTATTGGTTATGGGGGGGGGGTGCGATCGCACCATCGACATGCCTATGACATTGTAAGACGATTTGAAAACATGACAAATCAATCTTACTCTATTTTCAATAGGTCGTATAACATGTTGGTACGTGAATTGTTTTGATTATGATTTAAATCTGTAAATAGCTATCGTTACTTTAGCAGAGAGGTGACGTGTGTTAATTTACATGATGCAACGTGTAAGATTTTGATTATTAATCATAATTTTTTAAGTTATCCCAATTTTCGATGAAACGTCCACTGAAGTGTAAATTGTTACGTCTTAAAATGTCATAGGCGATCGCACCCCCCCCCCATAACCAATGAGACTATGACCACGATGATAGAGGAGGAAAAGAGCCTTAAAATGCTTTTTATTTTAAGCTTCTAGCTCAATTTTGAAGAAAGTTACATACATTTTTGTATACTCAAAACAAATCTTACACGTTTTCTTATGATCGAATTACATGTATGTTATATATTCGTATTTTTCATTTTTTGGGTACCCAGTCTTTTCAACCGGGTATCAGGTACCAAGTTTAAACCCAGCATGGAGGATTTACTACCCGGTACCTGATTTTTTCTCCAAACCCTACTTATACAGTAGATACTATTCTATTAAGTGATGATGGAGCAACTAAAACCGTGAGAATCAAGATAGAAATTGATTACATATAGTACATCATTTAATAATTTCAAGA